TCGAATTCAAATGAATTCTCGAGATGAGAAAATAAAACAAAAATTTGTTGCTTATTAGCAACTCAAATCAAGTACTCGAATTCAAATGAATTCTCGAGATGAAAAAATAAAACAAAAATTCTTTGCTTATTAGCAACTCAAATCAAGTACTCGAATTCAAATGAATTCTCGAGATGAAAAAATAAAACAAAAATTTGTTGCTTATTAGCAACTCAAATCAAGTACTCGAATTCAAATGAATTCTCGAGATGAGAAAATAAAACAAAAATTTGTTGCTTATTAGCAACTCAAATCAAGTACTCGAATTCAAATGAATTCTCGAGATGAAAAAATAAAACAAAAATTCTTTGCTTATTAGCAACTCAAATCAAGTACTCGAATTCAAATGAATTCTCGAGATGAAAAAATAAAACAAAAATTCTTTGCTTATTAGCAACTCAAATCAAGTACTCGAATTCAAATGAATTCTCGAGATGAAAAAATAAAACAAAAATTTGTTGCTTATTAGCAACTCAAATCAAGTACTCGAATTCAAATGAATTCTCGAGATGAGAAAATAAAACAAAAATTTGTTGCTTATTAGCAACTCAAATCAAGTACTCGAATTCAAATGAATTCTCGAGATGAAAAAATAAAACAAAAATTTGTTGCTTATTAGCAACTCAAATCAAGTACTCGAATTCAAATGAATTCTCGAGATGAAAAAATAAAACAAAAATTTGTTGCTTATTAGCAACTCATAAACATACATATGACTCATAGAAAATTTTATTTTACATTGCATTTATACGTTAATCAAAAATTTTATTTTTAAATATAATTTATTGTAATGTGTAATTTATAAAAATATTGCTAAAATAATTTTTACCTTCCAATAAATGCGTTCTTTATCATTATTTTTGCTTTAGATTAAATAAAAACCGAACAAGTTTTAACCTTTAATTCCTTTTGATTTAACCTTTTTTGTTCATATCACCTCTAAACTTATTTTCATCTATTTAATAGATTTGAATGCTTCACTTAAATTTACAAATATTCTCCTTTTATGTTCTTACTGGAAATGGAAATAAATAATTTTATTATATTGCCTACTTATTTCATAATTTTGATAACAAATGCGATTACATATTGAAGTAAATACAACCTCGATTATTTATGATAAAAAAATAACTCCTCTAATCATGCAGAAGGCTCGTGTTAAGGTTCTTGGCTCAACTATTGCAGATAACAAACACATGTTTTATAAGGATGGCTCCCTTGAAATGGGAGACTCCGGGGGTCCTTTGGTGTTTGAAGATTCTGGCAAAAGAGTTATTGGCGGTATTCATCATGGAACTGGAGTAATACATGACAAGTACAACAGAAAAAAAAGAAATAAGTTTATTTGTTCGTATGTATGATCATGTTAACTGGATAAACAAAAAATGTAAGTATTTCTAATGTTGAAGACTTTTATTTCTATAGATGTGCGAAACTTGTTTGGGCGTGTTTTTTGTTTTAATGAAATATGTATGTAGTACAAAAAGCAATGAAGTAAATTATTTACTTCTTAGTCAGTATCAAAATCTAAAAAATTAAGGGGAATACATAGCTCATTGGATATTATTTTATAGGAAATACGACAAATCTAATTGAATTTTTAAATTTTAAAAGATATATTTAGACGTTTTAGGTAAAGCTAAAAAATTAATTAAATTACATATACACAATCTTATTTAATATTTAGGCATGATGACCTTTACTAAATTGGTTGGGAGTATAAATTGGATTATAAATGTTAATAAATAAGAATAAGGAACTAAAATTATTTTAAAAGTGATAAAGGATCCATATAATTTAAATTTCTGTCTACCTTGAATTAAATTATTTGTACATATTTGTTAGATTAATTGGCATAAATAAACTTTCTAATTATTAATAAATCAAAAATAACTTTTATAAATCATCACTGCATTTAGTTAACAAATTTATTAGATTCCAGAGTTTCTAATCAACTTTCTCCTCTTCGAAGGGACAAATTTCTAATTTAGTTGGATTATTTTACCTTATTTCCTAGGAAATATCTTTTCTGGAGATCACGATTAATTGATTTTTCTTAGAGAATTCGGTAAAATATGTATAAAAATACTTGCTCTAACAATTATTATATTGATTTTAAAATAATTTTGAGTGACTATTTTAGCCTAATTTTTTGCTTAAATTTCAAGTCTCAGTATTTTTAGTCAATATTATAATCGAATTAACTCTGCTTTTCAAAACTATTATGCTTATTTTTTCTTTTTTTATAGCCTAGGGTTTTACTTTTATATTCTTTTCCTTTTAAATTTTTCTTGAAAAGGGTATTTTTATTGTTGGAATGTCTCTCTAACAAAACAAGAAAGTGCCATTTTCTGTGGCCACAACACAAATACTGCTTACTATTTTTTAACTTACTTAAAAGGGAGAGAAAGCAGGAATATATAGCTAGAGGGATACCCGTCAGAGGGATATAGAAGAAAATGTTGGGGGTATATAGAAAATATATCTAGCAGTAGCAAGCGTGCCAAGAAAAGAGAAATGATGAATTTTGCTTAAAAAGCTACACACACTTGTTTTTGCCATAAAATGCTTTAATGACAACCCGAAATGTTGTAGTAATATTTTTAATTGAGTTAGTATTTACTTGCTCGAATTTAACAAATTTTAATTTAATTAATTGAATTAATTGTGTTATTTTTATTTTAATAAAGTGAGTTGTATATTTTTATGATTTAGTATTTTAACAATTTAAAGATTAAATTAGTCTAAAATTATTTATACTATTGTTACAGACAATCCTGGTAACGAGAGTAAGAGTTGTAGAAGTTTATAAATAGAAGCTCTATTGACTAACTACGGGGCGCCACTTACACCTTCCCTCTTAATTGGGGTGCCACTTTTATTTTAATTTTATAGTCAACCGGACTACTTTTTTGTCCCTCGAGGGACAGAAAATCATCAAAATCTGATAAGTTTCAAGATAAAAGTTTGAGAACTAACAAAAATTTTTTTCCTCTATTAGAAACCAAATGGATCCAATTCAACAACAACAGCAATCATTTCAAGAAGGTCCCGATTCTTTATTCTCCCAGCAACCATTTAATACCGAAGAAGTACCTTGGTGGAAGAAAAATTTTCTTCTTCAACAGCCAACTTTGGTTAATGCTTGGAATGCTGTATTTCCAACTGTTATAGTTAATATATTTGGAATTGTTATTTTTCTTCGTATGGGATGGATTGTTGTTAGTTTTTAATTTTTAATTAGTGCTGTTGGGCATTTGACAATGGAAGTTAGCTACTGGGCCAGCTAAAGCTCATTCTTATGAATGTTCAAAGACGGGCTTTAAATTAAAAGAAGCCGGCTTGAATTCTATCAATTCAGAAGCCAAGTTTCAGTTCCAGAGTTCCGGATCCGGACCTGTAGCTCATAAAAGATAGGATTTTTATGAAAACAGGAACTGGAACCAGAAAAATGTCAAATATCCAGCACTCGATTTTAACAATTTTTTAAACAATTTTCAAAAGGAACAATTTTAGGGGACAGCCGGTTTCTTTCAAGCTATTATAGCACTTGCCTTGTGCACTTTATTCTCTTCTGTTACAGTTCTATCAGCCATTGGAATTTGTGAGAGATGCCAGGTACTGTAGAGACACGTAATCCTCGTAATTAGGGATGTCGGTTGGTTGCTGGGAAATCTCCGGATATCCTGAACTGAACTGAAGAACCGAAAGAAAAATTTTCAGTTCGGTTGTGATTAGACAACACTACTCATGACTCTCTCTTTTTCCGAGCCCTTTAGAAGACTACAAAGATATTTTTGAAATTTTATCTAGTGGAAGTCTTCTAATGGCAACCTCTCTCTTAACCTAAATAATAATCTCCATTAGAACATTAATAGTGAGACCCTCTCTAATATTAGGTCCCGGTTGATCAAAAATAAATATACAGTAAATCAAATCACAACCTCTCTCCATTCTTAACACAATTTTCATTATTTCAAAGGTTCAAAGTGGAGGAATCTATTTTCTCGTCTCTCATGTATTAGGAAAGCGTATAGGAGGTGCTATAGGAATTATTTACACATTTGGCCAAGCTTGTGCTACTTCTTTAGTTGCTCTAGGCTTTGGAGAGTCTATGGCACAATTAATGGGAATAGATAGCCCTGTAGCTATGAAAACATTTTCTGTTGTTATTTTGCTTCTTTTGAATGGTTTTTTGAATTTTATTGGAAGTTTAGTTAATATTTTGTAATTTAAAAGTTTTGAATTTTGCTGGACTTCATTTTGTTATTCGCCTACAATTGTTGTTAATGTGCTTTCTTGGAATGGCTATTGGAGACTTTCTGTTTGGGGCATTTTTATTTACACCTTCTGACCCTGGTAAAGAGTTGTTGGTATTTTGGGGTTGAAAAAAATTTTCAAAAATTTTTCAAAAAATTTTTTTTTGAAAATCCAGAGGCCGGTATCTACCCACTAACTGCCAAACAACTCTCAGCTAATTGGTATTCAAATTATGGATCTGAAAATTGCAGTGACAGAGCAACATTAGCCCTAGGTGCTGCTGAAGATCATCAACAACAATATTATGAGGCTAATAATTTCTTTAGCGTTTTTGGCGTTTTGTTTGCTAATTTTATTGGTGTTTTGGCTGGTAATAAAAGCTTTTTTTTAAATTATTCTCTCAATAACTCACCTTATCGAGAATTTTTTTTTCTAGGAAACGAAGGAGGGGAACTTTGTGGTAGAGAGGAACTTGAAGTAGAGAGTTCCTCTCTTTTCTAGTAGAGAACAACTTGGTTGATGGTACCAAAATTTAAAAATCCTGGGCCTGTTCTTTTCTCAAATTTAAACCAGGAATTAAATTGAATACAGGAATCTCAAAGAAAACCAGGATATTGTGTAGGAATAGGCCGATCGCTTTTACCATACCTTAAAAAAGACTTTTCAAACTATTTATATAAAAATATTTTTTATGTGTTAACATGAGCGGCAATTTGGTTGATCCGTTGAGGAATATAGCTGAAGGTGAATTGGGGGCGCTTGGATTTAGTTTTGGTCTTTGTTTTGTGTTTATGTTACTTTTGGGTGCTTCTGTTGACAGGTAGATAAATAAATTAATCGAGGAGGGAATTGAATTAGTGATTAGAATTACAAAAAAGAAGAATTTCCTCAGTTCCTCTTCAGTAAAAAATTTATTTTTAAAAGAAATGCTCTTCAATGTGATGCAATGATATCAGAAAAATTATCATTAACCAAACTTGTATTTCTTGGAGGTCTTTACATTTCTTGTTTGTCAGCAATACTTTCTTCTACGTTGGGTACTTCTAGAGTAGTCCAAGGAATTGCTAATGAAGGATTGTTTCCTCAAATGAGCAAATTACTTATTGAGGTAAACAAATAATTGAATTATTGAGAATTCTTATAGAGGGAATTGCCCACTTTTCGAGAAACACCGGATTTATCAGAGCCCAATACCGCGGATTTATGAAGGTCGGATATAGGACATTTTGATATTTTATATTATCTTTTCAACTGCCTTGAATGGAGGCTTATTATGATATTTTAAACGACGTTCGAGTCATTTTTTCAGGCCTCATTTTTATCGGAATGGACCCATCGAGTCTTTTTCGAACCAAAAATCAAAGCCCGATTCTCTTTCGAACCGAACCGGACCGGCAACCCTACTCGTGATAGTGAGGCCCACTTCCTTATTAACCTAAACTCACTGATCTCCTTGATAATAGTCCAGAATGCTCTGGGGAATGTTTCTTCGTTTTCTTTTTTCCCTCTTTTTTGCCCATTCTACATATAAAAATTAAAAAATAGGAATCTTCACCAACCCGAGAATCACACCGTGCAACAGTTTTAGTTACAGCATTTGCTATAATACTTTTATTGCTTGGAGATTTAAATCAAATTGCTATACTTTCTTCTCTTCCTTTTTTGTTTACCTATGCTACTGTTTGTTTCTTTTGAAATTTAATTTTTCTTTAAATTAATTTAAAAAAGGTCAATTATGCTTATGTTTCTCTTTCTATGAGTGATGACTTGGAGGTTTTGAATAATGAATGTGCTGCTGAAAATGAGTTTGTAAAAAAGAGAAATTATGCTGTAATTGGTCCAATAAGACTTTAGAAAAGAGAAAAATCCCTCCAATAGACGCCCATTAGTCTCCTAATGGATGTCATCTCTAATAGAAGCCCCCTTCTTTCCTATAGATTTTCAGTGTTTAGCTGGAAGCCGGTTTTTTGGTTTAATTCCGGTCAAGGTTTAGCTTACTCTTAAACACAAATATCCCTCTCAATCCCTGTGAAGATTCACTCTCAAATGACTGATAGTCTGATCTCGAAACAATACCGATTTCCTAGATAATATAGATAATACGTTCTCCGATTATGCCCACTTTCTATTGGAAATAAGGGAAAAATCTTTTCCAAAAAATTTTTTTGGTGTTTTTTCTTAAAAATAAAAATCTAAAAGCTCTTAAATCACAATAAAATTAAAGAAAATATTCTAGTAACAAACAACAAACAAGCTATGGAACAGTACAAGACGGGGCGGCCATTTATTCATCTCAGGGCCAACAAAGAAAATCTTTAGATGCTTTGTTTGCCCAAACAACTGAGGGAATTATCGGATCCACAAAACAAGAAAATGTTCAAAAAGCGTGGTATCAACATTGTATTAATCGTTATGTCTCTTTTGGAGCTGTTAGTTTTCGGAGAATTTCTCTCAAAAAATTTTCCCATAAAGGCAATAATTCACATACTTGTGGCTACTTTTGTTCATCGTTGGTTTGCCCTACTACACTTTATTGCATTTGCAGCTCTTTACCTTTATTTGGGGGGAACGTGTTCAGCACCCTCAGATCAAGGCAATAAAAATTAAAAAATATTTTCTTCCTGGGATCCCTTAAAATTGAATGTGTTAATGTTTGAGAACCAACTTCCACCTCTTTAAAGATATTCAGACGAAATTTTAGATAGAGCTACATATTTATAAGTAATTTTAACCGTAACACCAAACACTTCACATCCTTAATTGATCATTAAAAAATATTCTTTTAGGTGTTTCCCGTTTCTCCATAATGCATATGATTCGAGTAGCTATGTCAACTCAAGATACTCCAGACCTGAACTCTTCCCAAAATTCTGCCAGGCTTGTAGCCCCTCCCCCCTCAGCTTTATTCCAACCAGGAAATATACAACCACCACAGGCTTTGAACGCTCAGAATCCCGATTATGCAGAAAGAAAAAATTATCATCATGCTGAACAATTGGGGGCTGCTAAACAACATACTTAAATTGCATAGAGAGGAAGGAGAATTAGAAAACGTTCTCGATCCACCCATATGTTTAAGATAAAATTTTTTTAAATAGACCCAGTGATAAATTAAAAAAAAGTTAATATAAATTATTTTCAACAATTATGTAGAATTTCAGCAAATTTTAGTGACACCCATATCACGATCTTTTTGATTTCCACATAAAATTGAATTATTGTTATTTTTACAAAAAGGAAAATAAATGTGAAACAAATTCGGCCCTATATGAAAATAAGGGAGGAATCGGTTTTTCAATATTACATAATGGCCAGCTTTTTCTTACTCGTTCAATTCCATAATGTATATTTGCCTGTGCCTGAATCAAATGAGAAATGATAAAGAAAAGGATGAATGGAAAGGAGAATGTCTCGTTATTTGTGTTAAATTTTGGCCTTGCGTTACGTTTTGCGTAAATTTGGCCAAAATTAGGGCAAAAAACGCAAGAAATATACCCAATATGAGAATAAAAATTGAAAGAAATCCCTTCTAAAATTTTTTCTAAATTTTCGCTTCCGGCGGTGAAAAAGTGGTTCCTTGGCCATCTGAATTTCTCAAAACTTCCCCCTGCCAAATTGAAAAGCAAGTTCAACTGTCCTCACCCTCAATTAGCCATGCTCAAATGACCTTAACCGTTAAATTTCACTTCGCCAAAAATGACATTTAGACCCAAATCTTGTCTAATGTTCTCCTTCCCTTTACTTCTTATTTTTATTTTCTCTTATTTTTAGGGCTGTACTTTAGCCGGTTCTTTCGGGCTGTACTTTAACTGCGCAGGCCCGCTTCAATTTCAGCAGATACTCTTAAAGAATCTTGCTGAAGATATCAACCAAGTGAGTATACACATTATAAATCCCTCAAATAGTACATAGACACCAAAAATTGTAATAATTTAATCTTTGATATAATTATGAATCTGGAAAGAATTTATTATTTTTTAAATTTAGGTCAATTATCCTGAACCGTTCACCAATGTTTATTTGGATTATGAAAAGAACATAATGAAGAAAGCCAACGACTACCAGGCAAACCAACACCGGAATATGTCCTCTTCAGTGAACGTCATGTTTCGAGCTGTCCAAGTCATAATATTGCCTTGCACATGTTCGGTGGACAAGGTGATATTCGAGAACAAGGTTATAATTTAAGTAAAATATGCCTATAATATTTTCTTATTCAGCTAAGTCTAAATGTCAACGTGACGTTCGATACGGCTTGAATCTGCTTGGTTGCCTAGAAAGATACTTCCAAACATGGGTTAATTATTAAAGAAAATTATTTAATTTTAACTAAATTAATTTTAGACAACCACCGAAAGTTGCATAAGATGTTCCAAAAAGCAACTTCCAGCAAGAGCTTATCTTTGGAATATGCCTTCCATTCTAATCATCCACTTGGGACGATCGAAGTAATTAAATTTAAAAATTTAATAGATAATTTTAAAAATATTTTAAACAGGGATGAGGAAAAGAACGAGCGATTTGTTGATTTCCCACTGGAGAATCTTGACATTTCCTCGTATCTACACCCGGACTCGCCGGTTAATGGATTGAAGAGAGAAATGTGCTCTATTCACTATATGGAATTCTGGTGAGTAGCAACCCTTTTAAATATACGTGTCAAACCTTTATTTTCAGCAACATCATATTGTCGACCAATTAAATGGACACTTCACGTCAAAGGTTAAGAACCTCGAAACTAATGACTGGATGTTATGCAACGACACAGTATTTTCGGAAATCAATGTTGCTGACGTCAAAGTATAAATACAATTAAAATAAATTTTGTAAAAAAGAAATTTCAGACGTCTGACGCTTTCATGCTCTATTACAAGAGAATGGACAGGCAAGCTTTTTTTAAATTTTAATAAAATTTAATCAAGAAAATCTAAAAAAATATATACAAATTATACAAAAAAATGTCAAAAACATTTAAAAACAAAAAAATAGCGTAAAAACAGACAAATAAAAAAACAGTAACGGATAATTAAACTTACATAGAAACTAGAGGTCGGCGCGGGACGGGATCCCGCGCGGGATTTTGCGGGATCCCGTCCCGCAATCCCGCACTTTTTTCAATTTGCGGGATTTTGCGGGAATGCGGGATTTTGCGGGATTTATCCCGCGGGATCCCGTCCCGCAAAGATTTAAAAAAAATTTATCCCGCGGGATCCCGCAAAATTTTTTGAATTTTGCGGGATTTTTGAAAAATGGAGGATTTTGCCTGCTAGCCTTCTAAATTCAAAGCCTGCGGCGCTGAAAAAGGAAGGAATTTGGATACTTCGCCTTTTAAAATTTTCGTCCGCCGTCCATGGAATCATCTTTATTTCATCAACAAGATTGTCCAAATTGTTAGATCACGATGTCTGATCTAGTGTTCGGCACGGTACGGTATACCGCGGTATTTTTCCCGGTATACCGCGGTATTTTTTTCCGGTATACCGATACCGATACCGTACCGGTCAAATTTTGAAAAAAAACGGTATTTTTCGGTATCGGTATTTTTTCGGTATACCGATACCGAAACCGTACCGGTCCTCGAAAAAATACCGCGGTATTTTCCGGTATTTCGGTATTTGTGATACCCCTATCTGCGTCGCAATAAGGAAGATTTTTGGCTTAAGGATCTTCCAAATTTCTCAAAATTTTCGCCTGCGGCGCTGAAAAAGGAAGACTTATGTGTATATTGCAGGATGTGAATGGACTTGGGTGGATTTTAGTGATAGTCGGATATTTCAAGGGAAGGATCTGGCCTTCCGGAACCCGGAGCCCGGAGCCACATTGATCATAGGCGTATCATGGAGTTTTGTCGGATTAAGAGGGATATAGGCGGATTAAGAAAATAAATGGGATTTGGATGATAATCCCCTGTATCACTGTCAACAAATGCCCAATACCCAGCACCGACTCGGGTTTTTCTCAAATACACGGACTCGAACGTACTCTAGTTTGAATCCTGATACAGCGGAAAAAACGTTTTTTTTCAAATAAAACTTTACCATTTTTAAATTACAAATATTAAAATTATGTTCATTTTTCGAATTTTAATGTTAAGATTTTAAAAATAAAATTTAAAAAAATTTTATAAAATTTTTAAAAAATACCGAATACCGGCCGGTATACCGAAAATATTGAGACGGTATTTTCCGGTATCGGTATTTTTCCGGTATACCGATACCGATACCGTACCGGTCAATTTTTGTAAAAAACGGTATTTTTCGGTATCGGTATTTTTTCGGTATACCGATACCGAATACCGGAAAAGGTCATTTGCCGAACACTAGTCTGATCCCATTTGTTCAGCTCAAGTTATTCTAATTCGTATACTCGAATTTTCCGACCAATATGTTACGATTCTTTGATAATTGGGGACATGGGATAAGTGATTATAATTTGTACCAACTTGTACTCGTAATTTGGTACAAAGTACGATACATGTACGAGCAACGAGTACGAGTTAAGAACCCGTTAATGATTAGGAAATTGATTTTTTTCAATAGATATTGATAATTTCAACGATTTTCGAAAAATCCCGCGCGGGATCCCGCAAATTTAAAATGCGGGATTTTGCGGGAATGCGGGATTTTGCGAGATTTATCCCGCGGGATCCCGTCCCGCAAAGATTAAAAAAAATTTTTATCCCGCGGGATCCCGCAAACGCGATTTTGCCGACCTCTAATAGAAACAGAAACATCAAAACTTCAAAATGCAAAAACAACGAAAATATTTCAAAACATCAGAAACAAAACATAAAATATTTGAAATACTAAATATCACAAACGACAAAACATAAAATGTCAAAATGACAAAATCCCTCTTAAAAAGTCCCTCAAAGGTTAAAGTTTGTTTCGGTCTAAATCTTTTTTTAGAAAATTTCAAAAATTTTGTTGTTTTCAAAATCATAAACTTTATTTTCATAAATTAAATAAATTATAATTTTTTAGAATTTCCCTTATTGTAATTAACAACAACAACAAAACTTTCAACAAAAACAACAACAAAACAAACAACAAATACATATATCATAATAATCGCCTATCGTCACCTTCAATACCAAATTCAGCTCCAATTGTAATTTTTCCAAAATTCTGCTCATGTTATTTTTTACTTGGTATTCCTCACTAAGGTACTCCTCTCCTTTTATGTAAACCTATGTTTTTGATTAAGCACAAGAGAAATGTGCTCCTCGTAATATTTTTTAGTCCATGATTTTTAGTTTCAGCCCCATCTGTGAGATTAAAGTGTAATTTTTAATTCATGTTTTAGAAAATTGGTCAGGTTGGATTTACTAATTTTGCCAATTCATGTTATTGCAACTCAATATTACAAATACTTCTACACACGCCAAATTTTGCAAAACTTTACGCTAGCAACACGATCAAAGACCAAATCAACGAAAACAACAACAGAAATACCAAAGGCTATATCATCTACCATTCTTGGAGACCATTACAATGGTGAAACTCAGCAGGCTTCGCTACATTTCCATGAGCAGCTTTTAAGGGCACTTGCTGAGGATGTTAACCAAGTGAGTTTTTAAAATAAAATTGAATGAATTTAAGGCCGGAATAGGTCCCTCGAAAAATAGAGTTTAAGATATGAACAGAATTATGACCCTAAAACGAATTTCCTATATATTTTTTAAAATTTAGGTCAACTTTCCCGAAGACTTCTTCAACATTTATTTGATTGATGTGTCAACTGCTGCTAATGACTACGCTGCAAAAAAACGCCGAAACATGTCCTCTTCAGTGAACGACATGTTTTGCGCTGTCCAGATCACGGTTTTATCTTGTTCATGCTCATTGAACCAGACAATATTTGAGGACAAGGTTTTACTTTAAGTAGCATAAAACTATAATATTTGTTTACTCAGATCAGTCTAAACATCAACGTAACGTTTGATGCTTCTAATATTGACCTGCTTGGATGTTTGGCAAGACATTTTCAAACTTGGGTTAATTATAGAAAATTAAAATTTAAACGAATTTATTTTAGACTTCCAACGTGAAGTGTCATAGCTGTTCTAAGCCCCAACTCCCAGCGAGAATTTATTTTTGGAGGTTGCCACCCATCTTAATCATTCACTTGGGACGATGGAAGTAATTAAATTCAATTTAATAGATAATTTTAAAAATATTTTAAACAGAGATGGGGAAAAGAACGAGCGATTTGTTGACTTCCCATTGGAGAATCTCGACATTTCGCCATATCTCCACCCAAATTCACAAGTTAATGGAATGGGGCTTTATTCACTATATGGAATACTGGTGAGTAGAAAACGTTTTAATTACACGTGTCAAACCTATATTTTAAGCAACACCACATCGTCGATGCTGAAAATGGACATTTCACAGCAAAGGTGAAGAACATCCAGGCTAATGACTGGATGTTGTGCAACGACACCGTAGTTTCGGAAATTAATGCAGCTGACGTCAAAGTAAAAATACAATTAAATTAAAATTTTGTAAAAAAGAAATTTTAGACAACGGACGCCTTCACCCTCTACTACAAGAAAATGGACAGGCAAGCTTTTTAAATTATAATAAAAATTAATTAAAATCTAGAAAAATATATACAAATTATACAAGAAAATGTTAAAAACATTTAAAAACAGAAAAAATAGCGTAAAAACAGACAAATAAAAAAACAATAACAGACAATTTAACTTATGTAAATAGACCAAACAAAGCTTCAAAATGCAAGTTTGTTTCTCCAAAGTTTTTAAACTACTTAACCTTTTAGACTTCTTTATATGTCCTCAACTACTACTACAAAATTTTCAACAAAACAATTAACGGTAATACTTTGGTTTAGAGGCACTTCAATTGCACAATTACATTGCAAGTGTGCAGAAAGTAGAGAAACTGCAACACCTCCAGCACTCAATTTGAATTTCATTTTATTGCTTATTTGCATTTTGAAGACGTCTTTTGGAATTTGGTTTGATTTTATTCTTTTGTTCTCATCAAAAAAGCTTAATTTCGTCAACTTTCTGGTTAAGGTGATTTTGGGTTATATTTATTTAATGTCAATTAAAACCAGAGACCGATCCGTGATGAGATCTCGAACACAAATACATGATCAATCTTGATTCTCGTATTCCCTCACAGTCTTGTCTCTTAATTAAAACCCTGTAGAAAATGGACTGACATCAAATGGAACTAGTAATTTGTAAAAATTGTCCGCAAGTATTGTCCGCAAGTTCCAAAAATTTTTTTAGATAAAATTTATTTTTCTTGCCAGTGTAACCCGATAATTTACAAAAAAATTTACTTTCAATTTTTAGATTCGGCACAAAACTTTCCTCGTGATTGCTGACCTACCAATCCAAGTAGTTTATTGTCTGATACTAGCAAATAATGCAAAAATTTCATGTAAAATCTTGGTGATATAGCTTGTAATGCTCTTGTTATTGTGCAAAAGAAGTATTAATTAAATGATTAAATAGACATAAAATGATCTTTGTACTTTTTTTTTTGATTTTTTAAAATATTCTGAATAAAACTTTGAACGCGAGTAGCGGTAGTTTTTATTTGAGTTTCTTTCTTATTTTGAGGTAATTAAATTTAATTAGTAGCCTTTGACTCCTTAA